ACAAAAAAATTTCATTTGGAGGAATTTTTTCCTATTTCAACATGTAAATAAACACAAAGTCATATATAAATAGTAATTGCAAAATCATGAAAACAATATAAATGGTTACTGTTTGGAGAATCATTGAATAGTTGTTCCCTGATATAGAATAAAATCAAATATATATTTCAATACATAAATATACTTAAAACATGGAAAGAAAACAAAGTTTGCCTGTGGAATTGACTGAGAAGGAATATGAGGGTCTTTTCTGGGTGATAGTAATATTTTGTGTTTTAGCTGGTTTTCGAATCATGAAATTGTATGCTTTTGTCAGAACTCAAGGAATAGTACACTTAAAATCTCTGTGTTTAAACAGCAAGCCAGGCTTGAGGAGTAGCTAAGTGCAAAAGCCCTGGACTTAATCACCAATACTGAAGGAAAATATAACCTATGTGTTCATTGTAGGAAGATTTTATTTCAAAGGAAAAAAATTAACAGAAAACAAATATAGAATTGTACTTTTGTGCATGCTGAGGTAGGGAGAAGTGTATTGATGTCTGCAGACTCCTTTGAAATGTACCAAAAAGAAGATGCACTAGTGATAGAGGGATAAAGAGATGACAGACCAGTTATAAAGCAAGTGTAGTATAATGCTAACTGTAAAATTAGGTGGTGGGTTGCCAGAGACTCCTGCAGTAAGTCTCTAGTCTCCACCTGTCCAGTGTGTGACTCAAGGTTGAAGACAAATTTAAGACAGAGTTAAAAAGAAAGTGTGAACTGAGACAACCAATGCTCCTTTGGCAAAAGGCACTGGCGTGCCTCTTCCACTGAATTTTATTATTCATCAATCAGGGTAAAGGTGCAATATGTGTATAGATGTGCAGTATGTGAAACTGCCGTGGAAATAATATAGACAAGGCATTAAAGAGAAGTCAAAGCATTTTCAAATTAGAAGCAAGATGGACAAAATATATGGTTGTAATTGGAGCACTGTCCTTCAAGCTATGAAGGCAGTAATTGTGGGAATGGAATTTGGGTGCAAGTACTCTGACCTCAGCTATAGCTGTTATCTTCTATGGGCCCCACATCTTTATAGGCCATTGCTCTGGTCTTGGCCATGGCCCTTAGCAGGGAGGTCAGTTAACCTGTGCCTTACCGCATTGCTCATGAGATACTTCTGAGAGTCACAGAGCTTCAGTCAGACTCGCTTCTTAAAGTAAAGCCAATCAAGGGATTTAACTCTTTGCAGCCTGCACCACTAACAGCATGTTTCAGGCATAATCAATATTGTGAGTTCTAGCAGTGGGTATAAGGATATTCACTGGAAAGTCTTTCTGCAATATTTTAATACTCAAAAGAAAATAGTCTATACATGCTGATACACTGCTCTACACATATTGATAAAGGATCATCTCCAATATATATTGTTAGGTGGAAAAATCAAAACATAAAGCAATATTATGGCTTGCTTCTGAGGGTATTCAGGAAGTCCATTTGGATGACTCTGGCATATTCAGGACGCTCTGGGTGGGGTGACGGTTTACACAGAAAACCAGAAACTAATTCAGGAGTATACAAGACACTTGCTTTTTACTATTATTCTCTTAACTATTAGCTTTTATACCATAACTATAGATTATTTTTAATTAACTACAATAATTATATTTTAGTAATATATTTAATTTTTATATTTTTAAAATATTGTACCTACACATTGATACTCTCTTACTGTCTCTAATCACTGGGTATTTTATCTCTCCAACCGTATCACAACACCCCGAAGACCAAAATCAAATGTGTCATCTCTCCCGGGTAGATACACTTAGAGGTTAGCACCTGACTAGCACAATGTAAACAATTGATCCACAGTGCAATCAGCCGCAATAACAGGACGGTGCCCCCTGCTGGTGCCACACAGATGTACCCAAAGTCTGGCTGTGACTGCACGCAGTTAAACTGAAGGAGCAGAGTAGGAAAGGGGTGCTAAGGAGGGAACACCAGAGGAATTTCACAGGTGTTTTGTTAAACCATCCTGAGAGGGGAGACAAAGTCTTTGGAGAGGAAATGACACATGGTTAAGAGCAAGGTCTCTGAGCTTGGATAGTGGGTTCACCCATATTCCTTGTTTCTGATATTATATTCATAAAATGGACATAATCAACATAATTACCTATTATATTATGCATATTTTAAGTTACTTAATTTATGTATTAAGCACAGTAAAGCGGTATATAACCAAACACCCCACACAACTATAAGACAAATCCAGATTCAGAAGCATTGAATCACATATGTGGCCATAAAGAAAAGCACACAGTGGGAAACCCCCCAAATCTCACAGTAAGTCTGGTATCACCTGTTTTCTTTATTGCTGTGCCCCCCACTCCTCCCCCATCATCCCCCAAGATGAGGTGGCAAGAGTGGGGAGAGAGGCATGCATCAGCCTCCCACAGGTGTGGCAAGGGCAGGCAAGTAGAAAGTGATTGATTTAAGTGGTTCACTCGGGTTTTATTAAGGACATTAAGTTGATAAAGACAGAAAAGAAATTAAATCCCTTGGGAAACTGCTATCTGTATTCAAAGCAATAGGAGCTTCCATGTTGCTTGTCTCTCAACGATGCTGTATCTTAGAATTCTTCCCCCTCTTAGAATTCATCATTCAATCCAAAAAAGGTATTAGCTGACTCTATAAACAGCTTATTGAATTTATAAGCAGCTTTATCGAGCTATGTTTACCCTTTTAAAGTATACAATTCAGTGGAGTTTGTCCTGCAAGCATCACCACTATGTAATTCCAGAACACCTGGTTAATCCACAAAGAATCCCATCAGCAATTACTCCTCAGTCCTCCCTAACCCAGTCTGGCCTTAACAACCACTGTAACCCACTTTCTGTGTCTTAACAGCAGCATTTTTAATGACCAAGAAAATTAGATGAAATAAGCTCATAAGGATATGCTATATTCAGTCAATAAAAATATTGCGTGGTTCTCAGAAATTACTATAATAGGGTTGGGATGCAAAGGTCAGTAGTAGTGTAGGCTTAGGGTATGCAAAGCATTGGGTTCTATACCCAATACCAAAAAAGGAACAAAAACAAATACTAAAACTTAGGCTATGTCAACAGGTAAAATATATACTGCATAATGTTTAAAACATTTTAAAGATAAAAACCAATGAGTATTCTCTGATCTCAACCAGAAGCAAGGCCCACAAAGAATTGTAAAAAGTTTAAAGGGCCACATTAGAGATAATCACAAATCATTTGTTCTTTAGCTTTTAAACATTTTGTAATATTTTTTAACAAAGGCAAAATTCAGAAATCAATCTAAAATTATTGGGATAGAGAATACATTAAAGGGAATGGCCAGCAGGCAATTCAGCCTGATTTGATCTGCTTTTTATCTCAACTCACAGATCTCTTTATTACACCTTCCTCCAGCAACCAAGAGATTTAAACTACAAAGGTCCCAGCTCTCCAGGACAGCACATTGTGCTGTGCTGCCGACATTCAGGCCAATGCCCTTTTGCCCCTTGCCTCCTAGCCTACCGTCCCCACTCTTTCCTCACTCACTTTTCAACAAGTCTCCCTAGCTTATCACACATGCCATCAGTACTTGGCCATTCTCTTCTTCTCAGATACTAACCAAAGATCAAAATCCTAGCCGGGTGTGTTGGCGCACGCCAGTAATCCCAGCACTTGGAGGCTGAGACAGTTGGATCACTGAGAGTTCCAGACCAGCCTAGGCTACATAGGGAGTTCAGGTCAGTCTCAACTACATAGTAAGACCCTGTCTCCAGAAGAAAAAAAAAAGAAAAAATCAAAATCCTGATTCCAGCCATGCTTTCCCTCATGAGTTGAATAGTAAGGAGATTGGTGGAAACAAAAGAACCACCAGCTAGCTCTTCTCCCACTCATTGCTTCATCCCACTCCATGCTTTGTGTAGTGACATACTTCAAGTAGACACCACAGCCTGTCGTGTCTCTTCCCACTCTGCACGGCAGCCTTCGACAGAGTGTCGTTGCGACACCCCATCACTACCCACAAATGCTGCTACAGACATGTTCATTCTCACTTGCCTCTCACCCTACACACACACACACACACACACACACACACACACACACCAGAAAAAATTTCCACACACTGTTGCAGTGGCCCTGGCTAGGTTCCTATGACTGTCATACTTGGGGACACCGGATTTATGCGCGCATCTGTCTGCACCTCCCCTCAATCTATCCAGTGCTAACACACTGAAAGGAGAGCCCAAACTCATCTGGCCCAAGGACACAGTACACCTCTAGTCACTCTTCACCTCTCAGCACCTCGTTCCACAGCCCCACAACTAAAGAGTAGCTCTGGGACCATGGAAGACAGGAAGACCCCTTCAAGGGTAGCTTCTAATAAAAGCAATGACTCTATTGAGCAGATACTTACCCAGTGTCAGGAAATACATAGGTTTCAGGGATTCTTAGACAACTGAAACCAAACACTTGCCTTGATAATCTCACAGTGGGGAAAAAAAAAGAAGAAAAACAAAAAAAACAGAAAAGTACTATATACCCAGGGACTCACAGAGGAAACTAGGGATGCCAGGAATACACTGGGCAAAAAGACCCTACAACAAGGGCCTTGAAGATGATTTTTGAAGAATGGAGAGTTAACTGAGCCAGAAAGCATAAACAGACACACACACACACACCTCTAACAGATCTGCAGGAAACTGGGACTCCACAGAAATGGCAGCAGAAACAGGACAGACCACTCCCTGCCCACATCATGGTTCACTGTGTGCAAGGCCTGGGTGAGATCTACAGAGATTAAATAAGGCACTTCCTCTGGCCTCTGCTTCCAGTCAGCTGCGAGAGTCAGGTACAAAATAAATTACGCACATTGAAGATTGTGACTAACCTCCAATGCTGAGAAAGGAGAGGGAAAGGTTAATTGGAATTCAAGTCCTAAGTACAAGGATCATTACAAGTGGAGAGAGCCCTCCCACAAGGACAGAGGAGTGAAAATAGAGGTGGGGCAATAGGAGGAGGCCATCCTGGAAGACAGAAATGAGGAAGAGTGGGCAGGACAGGGATTGGGCCAGTAGGGGTTGGGGCCAGTAGGCTCCGCCCCTGCACTCCCCGTGACTGCTTTGGTCTGAACCAGGTGAGCAGGAACTCCTGAGACAGGCAAGGAGCAGGTTGGGAGGTCATGCAAGGCGGGCTGTGTGCCTCGGAGTTGTTGCTGTGTTTCTGAGAAAAGCCTTCCCTTGCCCATGGGCCTCCCAGACTGTGTTGGCTCCTGACAGAAAACTGGAAATCTGAGTTAGTGAATTAGAAGGCACTTGGGTGAGGAGGCACATCTCGCAGACGTAGGGTGTAGAAAAGGTCAGGAGTGATCCGGACCAGGCTTTTGTAAAACCTAGCATAAGTAGTTGTCTTTGAGGCCCTGTTCAGTCGGTAAGCAGTTTGTCGCTCCAGCCAGAGAATGGACTAACTGTAAGGGAATCAGAAGACACAGGGCTCACAGGGTAAGTGACGCTTCAACCCACTTCTCTCTCTTCAACCCCCTTCTTTCTCCCAGGGCCAGTCTGAGGGCCTCCAGAGGGAGAGGTAAAGGGTGGAGGTTCAATCAGAACCATAACAAGGAAAGGGAAGGCCCTCCCCCAGTCCCTGGATTCCAGAGATGCCCGTGTGCGGAGGCCTGAGGCAGGTGACAGGGGCTTGATCTGGGATCCTGGAAGGGAGACTGCAGGGAGAAAGACAGAGGGAGGCAGAGCCCTGACACAGTAAATTCACATAAGGGCTGGTAGTCAGAACTCTGGACTGCTTTCCCAGCTTTTCCACATATACTGATAACCTAGAGTGAATTATGAAGCTGGTCATTTATTTGATTTGATATTGAAGAAACAAAAACCCAAACAGAGGAGTAGAATATGCTTACTTTGGCATCTAGCACAGCTGTGATGTCAACTGCTAGTTTATACACAACAGCAGTGTGTCTTTTTGCAGGCGCCCCGGGAAGGGCCATGGTGCCAAGCCAGTTTTGGGGGAAACTGAAGAAGCCATTTCTCTTCCTGAGCAGCGCCTTCCTCCTCCTGGGCCTGGCTTTGCTGAGCATACGGCCAGACATCACCCCTGTTGCTTATATCTTTCTCATCTTGGCTGGTTTCTTCTTGTTTGGGTGCCTCCTGGGTGCTTTTCTGGAATGGCGCCTCCAATCAATGCAGAGATCAATGCATTCACTTCAGACTGAGAGCCAAGGAACCTCAGGCAGTGGACGGTGAGTTAAGGGTGGGCAGGATGACCTGAATACACTTGGAGCCTGTTATCCCTCTATCTCTCTAGTCTCTCTGTATAGACTCTGCTTTCCTCTGTCACTCCCGTCAGGAGTTAGGGCCAACAAAGGGGTCTTTTGTGGATAGTGTACAGGAAGAAGAAAAAGAAGTCCTTTCAGGAATTCACTAATGACCTTATTTCTCCTCCCTTAGAGACAATGCAGCTTTTGAAGTACCATCCTATGAAGAGGCAGTGGTGAGTTCAGAGTCACAGAACTGCCCCCAAGAAGTGGATCAGCCACCACCTTACTGTAGTGTTGTAATCCCCTCAGGACTGGAGGGGGAACAGGCTCCCCAACCTGAGAGGCCCATGACAGGCAGACTGGAAAATAGTGCGGGCTCTGAGGGGACCGTGACCCAGGGAGGAAACCATGGAAGACCCCTTATTAGCCTTCGGCTTCGGGGACCACGTGTTGCATCCACTGCTCCTGATCTGCAGAGCTTGAGAGGGCCCCCCAAATTGGAGCCACTTACTCCACCCCCTACTTATGATGACTGCTTTGTTCATCCTAATGATGATAACGTTTTCTATGAAGACAGCTGCACACGCTCCTAAGCAACTCTCTCAGGACTTCCATCTCTCCACAGTAGATCCACTGACTCATTTGACCAGCATTTCCCACTGTCAGGAACATTACTATGTGTCAAGAACTGCATTTCCACCTGAACATCACAAATGGAGGCTTGAACCCAGAGAGGAATCAGGCTATGTGGGTGGCACAATTTGTCTTCTGGCAACACTGACTGACCTGTCCATGTCCAGTATTTCCAGAGTTAGAGCTAGGTGATATGGAAAGGTGATCCAGGAAGCTGGAAAAAGAAGAAAAGAAGTAACTTGTGAGCGACAGCTGTGTTATCTCTGCTCTGGACGCTGTTAGATCCCTTAGGCTTTCAGCCTTGTGAGGCATTACCCTTTTTGGAAAATGAGGAAGGACCCAAGGATCAGAGGATTTGGATAACTTGCACAAGGATACACTGTTAGTAAATAACATAAAAAAAAAAAAAAAAAACTTGAATGGACTCTTGATTCTGAAGCCTATTGCGTTATCAATACAAGGTAACAAACGGGTATCCAGGCCACCCACCCTTCTCATAATCTTGTCTTGGGACCACTGCTGGTGAGGGTTGGAAGACTAAATAGAGCGGGGGACCAGCTATACCTATAAGCAGGGTGGGCTGAACAACACCAGGAAAATCTCCAGCCTCCCAGAAGAGCGCCCTCTAGTACACCAAGGCCCCTCCGGCCCCAGGTGATCAACTCCAAACCAGCGAAAAGTCCGGCCAAGAAGGTCTCTGTTAAGTAACTGCAATAGGCGGAGCAGGAGGAGTGGGAGGGGTCCGGGGGAGGAGCTGCGGTTTTCCGCGGGAATCAAGAGCCAATGAGATCCTCTTGAAAGCGAGGCTTTTATTCTTTCCCCGCCTCTTCCACTTCCGTTTCCCCATTGCTCTGGCCCCATTGGACGGCATGGCTCCCGCGGCAACGCTGCGCTTGCGCACGCACCGACCGCGACGGGGGCGACACCTGCTTGTGTTGGGGAGGCGCTAAGAATAGCAGGGCGCAGGCGCGGGGTGCGACGGAGGCGGGAGGGGGGGATGCGGAGGAAGCGGGGGGCCTCGGGTTTGTTTGGGTTGTGGGCGGTCCGTGCACAGCCCGGGAAAAGTGGGAAATGGCGGCGCCTAACGCGACAACCCGGCCCTCTGTGCAACAAAAGGGGACAATGGCTGCCGACCGGAGGCGTAGGTGAGTGGGGAAGGGTACCAGGGGGCTTAGTGAGGCCGAGGAAAAAGGGACGAGGTCCCAGGCGTGCGACTCTGCAGTCCCCTCCTCACGGAGCCCTTGGAAGTGGCCGCGTCCCGCACTTGCCTAGGACGTGGGGTCCTACCCAGCCCTCGGGGCACCCGGAACCTCACTTCGCGCTGGCTCTCGGCCTGTGCCCTGTGAACGAAAGTACTCAGCCTCCTTTTGTCTCTCTCACGGGGCCTTTACCTAAGAGCAGCTCTGCCGGGCCCCACAAATTGCAGTTTCTCCTAGACAATTCTCCATCCTTTCCTCAGCTTTCCTTAGAAACTATACTGTGATCTCTTAAAAACCGATAAGACCTGCAGATTTAAGTGTTCGGCCTGGTATGCATTTGATTTGGATTACCTATATCATGACCTGCATTGTTCTACGTATAATGACAGTATTTTTTTTTTTTTTCAAAGAATGCAGCACAGGCTTTGGGGGTTGAGTAGGTTCCTGTAATTCAGGTGTACTTCTGTCCCGGTCTTCCCGATTGGATGCAGTCAGTCCACCCAGGAGAACTTATTTTAATAAGACCATGGTTAACATGGGACCTTGAAGCAGGAACCTTCAGAAGGACACAGAATCAAAACTTTAAACCTGCTTTGGTGTCCCTTTTCTCTGCCTGCCACCACTTCAAAAGCGTCCTGAAATTGACAGTGATTTCAAACTTTGGGAAAGCTTACATTTAGGACTATCCCTGTGGTATGAAATAGAGGAAAGAGCAGTTGTACAGAGAGCACTTGATACTTCAAATGAAAAGTAATGAGTTGTTGGATGAAAATTCAAGTCTGGGACTTTCAAGAAGGTTCAGAACTAGTTGTCAGCGAGTTGTCAGTATGGATGAGATTACCTAGGAAAAGATAATTTGTGGGAGAGTTCTAATGCCCATCAGCATTTAAGGAAAGATCCAAAGTCCTACAAAGGAAACAAGTGTAGTAGGCAGAGAGAGGAGATAGAAAGGATGATGTTATGAAAACTAATGGAAAAGAAAGCTTTAAGAAGTAAGTGTTTACTAAAGGAAGAAATCTGCTCCATCATTGTTTTAAGATCTTAAGTGAGGTCTTTGATTTGTATAGTCTGTTGTAGTTTTTAACAAAGATTTGGAGTAGCAGGTGTGTTCTTGATACCTCTACTGCTTTAGGATCCCACTTGCTGTCTTGGGTCTCTGCGTTCCACCTTATTTTCCATCTAACTAAACCTCTAGACCACGGACATCTTTATGTAAAGTATTTCCATCCTGAATGCATATTTCACTGATTTGAAGGTTCATTTTCCTTGAGCATTTTATCATCTTTAAAATCGAGTTGCATTTTAAAATAGGTTTTAAGCTAGAAAGTGAATCTGTTACATTCCTTTCTCAGGACCTTAACATTGTCATATATTTGAAAGCTAAGGCTGGAGAGTTGTTGATTTATATAAATTAGGCACTTAGATGATATATAGTGAAAATGGGACTCCTTTAGTTCGAAAGTAGAAGCTAATCCCTTTCCAAACCCACAGTGTAAGGAAATCTTTGAATTGACAGTATCCATAGTAGTAAACCAAATCACCAAAATAATTTAACCTTCATTGTACTGTGATTCCAAGTCATGTTTTTTTTTCCCAAGTCATGTTGATTGTGTTCATCGTTGATATTTTTATGACTTTCATACTTTTTTTTACTTAGCCACATCTTAGAGGATTCTGGTTTTTAGTGTTATTTTGTTGCAGAAATTTAAAAGTTTGAGAAGACAATTTGTATAAGTAATCTAGAGAGAATATGCCTGCTTTACCTGGCCATTGTTTATTCCTCATCTAAGAACATTTTAAAAATTAGTTTTAGATGACAAATACAAAATGCTTTCTGGAATTACTCTCTTAATTAGTCTGTCAGAGGAATGCTCTTGAATGGGTGTGTATATTACTTTGATCACAATAGATTTCCCTCATGTGGTCTGACTGTTCATCTCAGATGGTCCCACTTGAACATGCTTCATAAAGAATTTTGCATTATTTCCTTAAGATCAGTATGTTACTGCTTAATACATCTTTGAATTTGTTCTTATCCACACCTCTTCCGCTCCACTCTTACTTGACCACCTTTCCATCTCCCTCTTCCTACAGGATAATAGGAGTATGTGGCATGCATCCTGACCATCAGGAAACTCTAAAAAGGAACCGAGTGGTGCTGGCCAAGCAGCTGTTGCTGAGCGAACTGTTGGAACATCTCCTGGAGAAGGACATCATTACTTTGGAAATGAGAGAACTGATCCAGGTATGTGGAGGCAAGAGAGGGCGGGGCCAAGAAGATAAATTGGAACAGCAGATAGAGTGTGGAAAAGATGTTGTGTCTGACTGAGGAAATGCCTCAGGAATTTGACAGGAAAGATACATATTTCAAGGTTAATGGGAGGGACTTCAGCTTTACATACTTTTCTTTTTAAAATAAATTCTTAATTTACAATGACAGTACTAGGAAGGAAGCTCATATGGAAAACTAGGATTAAAACTAGACTAAATGTGATACCATGTTTCATCTGTTTCTTAGGCCAAAGTGGGCAGTTTCAGCCAGAATGTGGAACTCCTCAACTTGTTGCCCAAGAGGGGTCCTGAGGCTTTTGATGCTTTCTGTGTGGCACTGAGGGAGACCAAGCAGGGTCATCTAGAGGATCTGTTGCTTACAACCCTCTCTGGTCTTCAGCATGTACTCCCACCGGTATGAAACCCTAGAAATGTGGGATCCTGGGAAGGGTTAATTTGGCTGGAAAGGATTTCTATGGGATAGGGTAGGGAAGAGATTTTTATTTGGACTGGACCATCTCCTTAAGGTTTGTCATGGTGTGTCCTGATCTCTTACAGTTGAGCTGTGACTATGACATGAGTCTCTCTTTCCCAGTGTGTGAGTCCTGTTCTCCTCACAAGCAGCTCCGCCTGTCAACAGGTGAGAATTGATGCAGAAAAAAAGGGATCTCACAGATTGATTTCTTTAATTTTGACTGTCATCTGGCTTCTCCCTTACATGAGACACATTTCATGTTGGGTGCAGTTCCTTGATATATTTTTTAGAGCCTAGCAGGACAGTTTTTATAAGGCACTAGTTGGTCCCTTTTCCCTTACCTTACAAATAACATTCATTGGGATAATTGGCCCTTTGAAAGTTTATACAGGTGGGAAGTTCCTACACATGATCAGCTGGTCCTGCCTTGAAAGCTGAATGAGAAGCCTACTTTTAGGGCCATCAGCCCTACTGACTGGTAGCCTAGAGATAAGAATCAGGATTTTATCAGATACCCCTTCCTTTCAGCCATTCAGTGAGTTGGTCTCCTGCATACAAGCCAAGTGCAGAGGACCTAGTGGTAAGCTAAAGTTAACACGGGCTATACTTTCATAGAGCTTATAGATCAGAAAGTGAGTGAGAACAATATTTATCAAGGCCAGCTCAAAGAGATGCCTAAAGTTTCCATGAGGTACTGGAGTGGGTGTTTTAATTGTCTACTAGTTTGGAGGATTTTTGTTTTAACTGCAGATGTAGTGGAACACTCCCTAGATAATGGAGACGGTCCTCCCTGCCTCCAGGTGAAGCCTTGCACTGCCGAGTTTTATCAAACACACCACCAGCAGGTGAGTCTTGCATAATAGCAAGTAGAGTTGAGCAAAGAGATACCTTTGTGGGACATCTCAGCCTAGTTTGTGTACACTCCCTTACCACCTTATTTGTCAGAAAGTTCCTGTTGACTGAATGTCTTCTGTGGGGATTTCTCTGTACCTGGTGTGGTTAGGAAGATTACAGTATTGTCTTTGATTTTTTTGGGAAGTGGCTTATTTTCATCATAATTAGTGTTATCAAAAATCCGATGGTCTAACTGGCCTCCTTTCTCTAGGCCTATAGGTTGCAGTCCCGGCCTCGAGGCCTAGCACTGGTTCTGAGCAATGTGCACTTCACTGGAGAGAAAGACCTGGAATTGCGCTCTGGAGGGGAGGTGGACCAGAGCACTCTAGTTGCTCTCTTCAAGCTTCTGGGCTATGAAGTCCATGTCCTGCATGACCAGACTGCACAGGTACCCCAGGCTGGGAAGACTGACACGTAGATCAGAGGATGGGGCTATACTTTGAGGCTGGACATATCTGCTGCTCCTTTGTTTGCTAGATGTGTCTTGTAAGTCACTGGCCTTACGTTCCCACTCTGTTGTGCTTCTTTCCTTGCAGTCTAGTAAAAAGGAATCGAAGCCTGCTAGCTATTTAAATGTTTGATGTCTGGAGGTAGCTGTACTTTCAGGGAATAATAGTAGTCCAGGGTTAAGTTCTTTTTACAAGTTCAGAAACTCAAGAAGTGATGAAACTGTAAGATTCATGCTAACCAATTCAGAGAAGATATTTATGAGCCAGACTGCACAGGACATTTACTTCTTGGTTGCTGTCCATACTTAGGAACCCAGTTATTGCTGTAGTGATTAATTTGGCAGAGAAAATTCCTTCAAATGGAAGCTTATAAATACTGCTTAGTGACCATCTAATGAATATGGGGAAATTCCTTATCGTTACCAGTAGTGTGGGCCATAAGTCTTAGGATAGATTGTTTCTGAACTAGATTCTTAACAAGTCTTAAACATTTTCATTATGGGTTACTTAGTCCTTGTTAACCTAAAATACTGAGCTGCACTATTGATTTTGTATTATTCGATATTTATGACCTATTTGTAAATTTATTAACTCTGGATAACTGTAGCGATAATCATTTCTTGCCTTTGGAGTTACCAGTGGTGAAATTAAAGTTTTTAGAAGATTTACATGAACCTGTTGAGGTACAGGATCTTGATTTTGTGTTCTGCACATGTTGTGTGGTTTTTCATCATTTTCTCAGTTCTACTACTATGAGAATTGCATGTTGGCTGTGCATTGAGTACAACCAGGTTCATCATAACGTTCCTAGGTGTCATCTTTTACATGCTATTTTTGCTGGCTTCCTGTAGCAGCCCCATGCAACATAATAAACAAAGCCATGGCTAGAACACTATCTCTAATCATCAATTAATAAAGTAGACTATGCACTTCCTGAGAAATCCACTGGGTATGAATGGAGCAAGAGTAGCTTATCACCACAATTGTTACATGTCTTAGGTACTTCTCTCCATGCTGAGACAAAATACCCAACACCCAAAGTTAAAGGAGGAAAGATTTATAGTATTTCAGCTTAGTTTTTAGAGGTTTCATTCTATGTTGGGCCAGCTCCAAAGCAGAGTGGTGTGGCAGAGGGGCATCACAGAGAAGAAATAGTCCATGGCAGGCAGAAGACACCAAAAGCAAGCAAGTGACAAGCCACACTAGCAGCTTTTTTCTGTCCTTTTTATATTCTGTCTAGGCTGTCTGGCTTAGGGCAGGTAGCACTCACACCCAGAACTATGACAAAACAAATCAGTGAACTAGCTTAGTAATCATACACCCTTTAATTCCAGCACCACACATTCTAGGTCTAGCTATCTCTGGAAAAGCCCCTCTATGATTGCATGAGGATTTGGGGGAACATCTCAGTACAAGTCATAACAGCTACAGAAAAAGGAATCTGTTGAAAAAAAAAGAAAAAGGAATCTGTTGGAAGGTCGCTTAACAAAATGTATGGTATGCATGTCTTCCTAGAGATTTTGATCTAGCTGTTCCTTTTATAGGAATCTAGTATGTCATTATATTCAAAATCATATGCCATTGACAAGGGCATGCTGGATAATTACAGATACCATACCAAGTCAGCTGTATATACTCCTGTTTTTTTTGTACCATTCCATAGATTTGATGAGCCCATCAGCTCAGTTCATAAATGCTATTTCCATTTATGGTAAACCAAATGCAGCTTCAAGGTCCTATTGAATTCTCATTCTCTGCTTACATTTCTCTATAACTACAATTACAATAAACTTCAATTTTGAGCATCTTACAGGGGGACTGTGTTAGCTACCATAAACATTAAAAACATGGGCCTTGAATTCCAGGGATCTCTTATCAATGAGGGAGTCTTGAATATCAGCAGAAAGAAAATGTGACCCCTTACTATTCCAACGACTGGGGGAGATTAGAGTCACAGGCTTCTGTAAGAGCTCAGAGGAAGTACTTTCTGGGTCAGTGTGGTCAGCAGGGTGAAAGGAGCAGTGGGACTTACAGAGGCTACTGAAGCAGAGCAGAGTGGCAAAGTCATCCTAGGCAGGGAAAACAGTATGTAAACGAGATTTGTGTGCCCCAGACTGGGCAGTTGCTATGAGTATCATAACTTGTGCATTGAGCATTTGCACAGAATACTATCTTCCTGGTAGACCAGAAACAAAACCAAATAGATTGAAGATCTCCCTTTTTCTTTCTCAAACATATTGGACTTTATAGACAAATTTCATTTGGATACAATAAATAGTGGGCCAGGTATGATGGCGCACACCTGTAATCCCACCACTCAGGAGGCTGAGGCAGGAGGATCAGCACAATTTCAAGGCTAGCCTAGACTTCATAGCAAGACACTGTCTCAAGAAAAAAAAAATGTATAACCCTAGAGCATCCTTGTCTGTTGATAGCACTGGTGAGAACACTGCTTTGGACTTTGTTGCCCTCTACTGACTAAACTAGTAATCCCACTGAGTTTGAATACTCAAAAGTAGATGCCTAAGTATATCTGTAATTTTTATTATAATATTGGGGCAAAATTTAACTTTACATATATATATACCCCGCCTCATGATGAATGTAATCATGAATGTACTGCAAACACTCAATAAAATTGTTTAAGTTAAATTTTTAAAAATTTGGGTGGGTCCTGAGAAACATTAACAATTAGGATTCTCTTAAAATTATATATTCTATAAACAAGTGAAATTTGGTAGTCTTTATTATTTTAAGATTTCCATTATGGTGTTGTTTACCTGAGAAATACACATATTTTTTCCAAAAAAGTAGTTTCTCTATTTCCAGTTAAATTGCAGTGTTTCACATCTTTTATATATTTACATAAATGAAATATTCCAAATAAGTGGATTAGTAAACCTTAAATTTTAAAATAACAGAATCAGCTGGAAAGTTTGTTTAAATTGATTTTGTGGCCCAGGAATTCGTATTTTTCAGAAATTCTTAGGCAGTATGCTGGGGTTGCTTTAGGGACTACCCTTTGAAAACCACTGCAATATATTGTACAAGTGTACTTTTTATTGGGAGTGGGTAAATGTTAAGTCTGCCTAGGTCGCGTGTTCATCTTTATTATTCTCTGTTGAATGAACTGGATTCTTAAGGTGGTATTTGTGAGTGGTAACTTAGTATGTGATAAGTAAGATGAAGTTGGATTACAGGTCTGATCATTAATGGGTTTCTTTAAAAAAGTGATAAGATTGTTACTGTATTAGACATGCACATTATAACAGGTCTTTTTAGTATGTCTGAGATACTGTGATTACATAATTTCTGCAAAATCTCACTTAATCTTCAAAAATAAAGAGAAAATGTACGTGTAATTATATAAAATGGAAATCAGGACCTTAAAGGACTAAGCTCCTTGTTCCAGTTTATGGGCCCAGGGTTCAAATCTAGATCAGTCTGATCCCATAATCTGTGTTTCTAATCTGCGCCAAATAGATTGGTCCACCATTGTACTCTCCATTCCATAAAACAAAACATTCCATAAAGGTGTCATCTTTGCTTGGATGCTTACCACCCCACATGGAAAATAGCAACCAAGTAATGCTATTCTCAGCTATCGTGGCTCTTAGCCCTCCTCACAGAGCAGTTCATTTTCTCATAGCTGAGTAGGTGTAGTCTCTCATGCCATTTACATAGAGGGCACTTGCCTCTAATAAAGGGTCTGGTTGATGATCAGGAATCAATCAGAGTTGACTAGCTTGTAATTAGTTCCATAAGTAAGTTGGTTTAATTGTGCTCTTAAGTTACCTTGGTGAGTCTGTAAATCTATATTCAGAATTCTATCTGACATTGTGTGGTATTTTTTTTTTTTTATGGTTAATGCAGTTTTATTTAGCCTCTCAGAGGCTCTCTGACTTCTCTTGTCATTGACCACAGGAGTACAGTGGTACTTCCTTTCATGAGTATAATTCTTTCCATTATTCTGGCCACTAACCTAATCAAATTCAATGGTTAGGTTCAATGTTGACCTTAAGCGGAAATTTGATTCAGGGTACGACCAGAATCATGGAAAAAATTAAGTTCATGAACCAGCATACCACTATATACCAAAAAACGTCTCTTCTGATAGCATAAGGTTTCAAACAGAAACCAGAGACCAGTGCTAGCATTGGTGCTGAGTGCATTGGCAACACTGAAAGATGTCTTTCTTCTAGGCAATGCAAGAGAAACTCCAAAGTTTTGCACAGTTACCTGCACACCGGGTCACAGACTCATGCATTGTGGTGATCCTCTCGCATGGTGTGGAGGGCAGCGTCTACGGTGTGGATGGCAAACTGCTGCAGGTGCGTGACCTGCCATGGAAGCTATTGTAACCACTCCTTTGCCTGTCTTTCAATGGATGACTACTGTAGCCCTACAGAAGTCTCAGTGACCTCTTAACCTCCCTTCCTCATTTCTTTCGGCAGCTCCAAAAGATTTTTCGGCTTTTTGACAATGCCAACTGCCCAAGTCTACAGAACAAGCCAAAGATGTTCTTCATCCAGGCCTGCCGTGGAGGTGAGTGCCCTGGCAGACCAGCAGCTGGGTGATGGCTCCTGGACAGCCCCCCACCAGCTCTCACTTTCCTGTTTGCTCCTCTCAGGTGCTATCGGATCCCTTGGGCACCTCCTTCTGTTCCCTGCTGCCACCGCCTCTCTTGCTCTGTAAGTGTCTCCCAATGCATGGGGTGTGCTGGGACTTGGGCAGCCCATGGCTCTCAGGCTGGTCAGCTCTCCGTGCACCACCATATCCTGTTCTCAGGATTCTCTTGTCAGTGTCTTTGCCTTTTTTTCTGAGTACTTGGACTCTTTGCTATGCTTATCCATGCAGATGCACTTTTTTTTGTTGTTATTCTTTCTGGTTAGGGATTTTCTGTTTGTCTCTTCTCCTTCCTATTTGTCTCACTTTATCTCTTTCCTCTTTTTCTTTTCCTCCTTTCTTCCCCCTTTCCACTTTCTTCTTAGGCTTCTCTGTTCACCTAGTTCACCTAGCTTCCACTTTTGCTGTCTTCTCTTTTTCATTCCTGGACCTTGCAGGATAGCAGTGCAGAAACCATGTCAGCCCTGGACTCTTTCCTAAGCTGCTTCTGTCCCTCTTCTTTCTTGCTTGCAGTCTGCAGTTACTCTACCCCTGTAAGAGCCAGGCCTGCATCACAAGGATCAGAAGATACACAGGCTGCTTCTCCTGGAGGAAAACAGTAGTAATTAAGAGTTCTAAATCTGGAGTCAAATTCTCACTCCACTACTTAGTAATTATAAGAAGTTAGAGGCATTACTTGATATTTGTGCACCCTGCTTTCCTTTATGTAAAATGTGGATTGTCGCTGTATCGACTTGATAAGGCTGTAATGGTGATTAAAGGGAGTTATGCATATAAGAGCTCACCTAGCACAGTACCTAACTAGTGGCACATTCACAAAGAAAGCCAGCTGTGGCTATTACAACATGATCAGTGTCCTCAAAGGTCTTATAGTTTTGGTTCAAGTTCATTTTATCCAAACATTCAAATGATTTTTTTAAATCTATTGTGTAATAGTTAATATTTTTCTCATCTAATATTATCATGGAATGTGATACTGCATTACTAAAACTATACTAGGTAATACCACAAAAGCAAAAGAAAATGTGGCTTAAGAAGCCTGTGAGATTGCTTGTGAAACTAAAGCATGAAGTAGCTTGAAACTGGTTCTCTAGCAAAGGTAAAATTATTGAGATGGAAACTGTACTTAGGAAGAAATATGCAGTAAGAGTAGATGATTTTAAGTGAGGTTAGTTCAGAGAGACTTTATGGAAAGGGTAGAGCTTAACTTGGACCCAGGACATAGGATTTGCAGAGGTGTGGGGAGACAGTCTTTCCCAGGAGAAGGAGCAGAGCAGGCTAACAGGCACACCAGGATTCAGAGTATGTTGTGCCCCCATCTCTCCCCAATCCTGTGGTTGGATCTAATTAAAAAGCTGAGCATCTGTGTATGTTAGTGAAATGTTGCTTATCACAGGAAGTAGATCCAGATAATTAGAAACCCTTAGTCATAGCTGAGATTTTGGACTTCAAAAGATAATAGTACAGAGATGTTGAGAGCTTAAGTAAGAAATAAGATGATGATTTTTTCCTTGGCAAGGTCACCAGGGAAAAATCGGCAGGGAGATACACTAAGGGAAGAGCTTGTGAGGGGCAGGAACATAGTTTTTCATTCACTGCTGTCTTTCCAAAGTCAGAGTACTTCCTGACACACAGTGACATTTATATAATATACTGAATGAATGAATGGAAATTTATCTGCTCAAAAAAATCAGTGAGGCCAGGGATTTAGCCCAGTGGTACCATGCCTCCTTTGCAAGTGCAAGGTCCTGCGTTTGATCCCTGATACAAAAAAAAAAAAGTATGAATATTAAAAAATCATAATGATAATATGGAAAACGGATAAGCAGTGTTGTAAAGAAAGAACCAGTTCCTTGCAAGCTCAAGGACCCGAGTTCAATCCCTGATACTAAAAACAAAAACAAACAAACAGAACCAGTGTGCAATATGAAAGCAAGAAAAGTTTATCTCATAAATTACATTCTTAGCTTGACCTATTTCCTTTAAGAGCCTTTACCAGTAAAATAAAGACATTAGTGGTCATTTTCTTCTAAATTCGGAGATACATACAATACTACATCTGAGTGGGGAGAAATTGCCCTCTTCTGGAATAATCTGAATTTTTAGTTCTGCCTCTCCAACTCCTCTGTAAAAGTAAACCCTTAAAGCTATGACTGGGCCAGGGATTTAGCTCAGTGGTTCCATCACCTGCCTCTCAAGCACAAGGACCCGAGTTCGATCCCCGGTACCAAAACAAACAAAAAAAGGTTTGACCAATATCCCATTGTTCCTTTGAGGATTTGAACTCACCATCTCCCTACTATAGTGCTATTGTTAACATCTGAAAAAAAGTACCGCCCTTGACCCAACTGACTGACTCCTAAATTGGAGTGCAAGCTTGACAAAGGCAGTGACTTTCTTCACTGTGTCCTGAGGGCTTAGGGACAATGCCATACAACATGGCAGTTGCTCATTAAGTTTTTAGTAAATCAATGAATCTTGGTCCTTTTCCCCACAGTTCTTCAAGTATTCCGCTTCCTTGCTGGGCTCCCTTGAATGTTGGATGGAGTGGGAGTACCAAAAAAGAGAGTACACTCTTACTTTTGCTGTGTTGATCTGAACATCCTCCCATCTCCCTTTCCTTCAGACAGCATCCCTGCCTGCCTCCATAGTAAAAGAGAAACAACAGAAGTAGGGATCTGTCTTAGAATAGGAAAGGCCTGAGTAAGGAGTCCAGCATGTACATGTTCAGGATATGCTGAGAAACTACCACTGAAATTGAATAGTGGTGTTCTAAGTTCTTTCTCTTTTAAACTTCTCTCATATCTTGGCTGCCTGCTATACCTTGTCTTATGAGATAAGTAGTAAATGCTTTCAAAATACCAAAAAAAGCCTGGTGTGGCGTAATCCCAGCTCTTGAGAGGCTGAGGCTACAAATTCAAGGCCAGCTGGGACTACAGATGGAGACCCTGTCTCAAAACATTTAAAAAAAAAAAAAAAATACTAAAACCACTTTGGAAACTGATCATGCGTAGTTTTACAGTTTTTTTTGTTTTTTTGTTTTTTTTTTTCTGATAACATAGTTTGCGGTTCTGAGTTTTATATGGCATATATGTTTTGACAACCATGTGGCAACCATAGTTTTGGCTTATTGCTTTTGGCTTATATAGTAAAACTGAGTATCAGTATTTTATTGTATACTGCAATAAAGCCAATAAAAAACACTCATATATTTCAGTTATTTTGCTATCTGAACAAGTGAATCATAGACCTACATGATTTTTAGTTCCATTTACCAAGAGTATTTGCCCTGGCCACTTTTTAAGCAGAATGGGATATGTTCCAACCATGTATATGCGCATGTGCTTGAGTGTGGTGCCTGGTCTAGTAGGCACTCGCAGAGTAATGGATGCATGCTAAGAAAATAATGATGCTTTTGCTTTCATTCATCAGCTACAGGTTGGAGGCAACAGCTGCAAATGACTTCCCAGTCAAGGTTATTGCAAACTTGGGCATGCTTATGACAAACCTACAAGAGATGGTAGAAAGTAATATGTTTGTCCATTCTGTCTGCCTTGCTACAGATGAGACTGATCGTGGGGTTGACCAGCTAGATGGAAAAAACCACGCAAGTTCCCCTGGGTGTGAGGAGAGTGACGCTGGTAAAGAGGAGTTGCTGAAGATGAGATTGCCTACTCAGTCGGATATGATATGTGGCTATGCCTGCCTGAAAGGTATTTTGAGTTCTAAAGAGTAATCCAGAAGACTATATTTTCCTAGTCAAGGGTTTGTGATACTGGGCTCTCCTGACTGGGAGGGTTCGAGGTGCCATGAAGTCCAGTTGTGTGAGGTTTCTCCGTGACTTTCACACTTCTGGTTGCAGGAACTGCTGCCATGCGAAACACCAAACGGGGCTCCTGGTACATTGAGGCACTCGCTCAAGTGTTCTCTGAGAGGGCTTGTGACATGCATGTGGCCGACATGCTAGTTAAGGTAAGTCGGCTCAGGCTTACAACTCCAGTGTTTTCCCTTCCCCTTCCTTTAAGCTGTTTTTTCTAGTCTCTCTGTCCTTCCCTTTGGGCTGCTATCATGGAAATGCAATCTGACTTTGGACTCCTGGTTCTGCCTTTGCAGGTGAATGCTCTTATCAAGGAGCGTGAGGGCTATGCCCCTGGCACAGAGTTCCACCGATGCAAGGAGATGTCAGAGTACTGTAGCACTCTGTGCCGACCACTCTATATGTTCCCAGGATACTCTCCCACGTGATGCCACCTCCCTGTCATCCATGCTGTTGGAGGGCCCTGGACTGCCAGAGGATGCTAGAGCCTTTTCTCTTCAGGACACATGGTTTCTGATCTGCCCCCTCAGGGATATGGGACTTTTGCAGGTGTGTTTCCTGTGCCCATCATCTCCACCTTTGTGAATGGGACTCTAGACCAGCACCAGCTCCTGTGTGAAGCTCTTACCGGCTGTGGCTGAACTCCTTGCCAGAAGTGTTTGAGCTGCGGTCAAAGAGTCTGGCAAGTGATGTTTTGAACACAGTATCATCATGGAGAGAGGACATGGGGGTTTCCCCAGTATCTGTTATTTCTGCCCTCAGGGCTTTTGTAGGAAGCACTTTGGTTATCACTTGTATTACATTAGTTGAGATGTCTTGGAGATCACCTCCTATCTGTTCTCTCTTTCATTTCCCTGGCCCCATTGTCCCAGTGACAGTTTGGGAGGTGTCCCAATTTAGTATAGACATTTCCGTTTGGCTTTGAAGAGGCAAGCATGACTAAGATAATACCCTGCTGTCATGAGCAAAAGTGCCTGTGATTCCTTCAGGACTGCCAGCCCCCAGGGAAAGAACCTTTGCTCCTCCACCTTCAGCTCCTTTGGGAGCTCTTAGCAGAGCTAGGGTCTGCATGCCTCGACCGGAAGTCTTAAAGGGCTTCCTTAGTCACTCCCTGAGCTTTTCCTGAAAGGAGACTTGTGGGGAGTGTTGGCAGAAGGCTAGGAAGGAGGACATGCTCCTCACCCCTGACCTTTCTCCTTCCTGCAAGGTCTCCCTTTTTCCTTTTCTCACTTCCATGCAGTCAGACTTTACCTTGTATCTGGATTTCTAGAAGAGCTTTCTAGGTGTTACCACCCTGCTTCATGTCTCTCCCTTTTACCGTCATTTTCATCCTGTGCATTTCTTCCACCAAGCCTGTCTGAAATACTCCTGCACTGGGTCATTTTTCCGCTCAATAGTATAATGTACTACTTTGTTCCTACCTTCTGCTTCAGAATCAGACTCTCCTTTGATTTTATGTGGTCGTAACTCCTCTATTTCTGCTTCAGTGAACCTTTACTTATTCTCAAAGGCATTCTTGCCCCTTTTGGTCTATGCTTTACATAACAGTTTTTGGCTTTTAAATATAAATGTCACTCTCCTGCTTGGAACTCTGGGCTTCCCTCTATACCTAGTATAAAATACAAAATCCTTGCCCTGGTTCGTGAGATCTGGCTTTGCCTTCTCCTCCAATCTGTTCCAGCCCTAATAGCCTCTACTCATACTTCTTTGACATTTTGAGCTCTTCATTCTTATTGCACTTGGCTGGAGAAGCGTCTTATTCTTTGTTTTGTGGAGCCTTTCCAGGCCATTCTGACTAAATAGTCTCCTCCCTTTATTACTGCATCCTGGTTAATTCCTTCATTGCACTTACGCGATTTGTAACTACATATTTGTTTATTTTACTTACTCAGTTTTTCTCCCCTACTAGGCTACAAGCTTTAAGAGGGCAGAAACCTGGCTCTCTTGCTAGTATGTACCAGTACCTGACACTTACTGTTCCTCCATAAATGTTTGTTTATAAAGGAAGGAAGCAGCCAACCGTAGGTAAACTCCTTTTTGATAAAATTTCCCATTTGACAATATATAGAGTTTAGTATTTGTACTCATGTTTTTCCAGGTGTTTTTGTTTTTATCCACTGGTATTTTGAGCTCCTTGAAGAGGTGTCACATGTGAGCCAACTTCCATCACATCTCATAGTGCCTAGCAAAGTGCTAGGCCTGTAGCAGTCAAGGTGCTTGATAAACGTTTATTCTGTGAGCCAGACGGTTTGAAGACTTGGTGTCAAATCCTGCCTTTCGCTCATATAGGATGTATGTATTTTAATGATACAACTTTCCCACTTATCACTGCCAAGATTTTTTGTATCAGGTGCCAAATAAATGTTCATATTTGTTGCTGGGGTATGCATATTGTCTGTGTTTCTGTGGTTACTTAATCTTCTCAAGTCCACATATCTTCATTCCCTTAGCTCCTTGTCATTCCTCCCTCCCTACAAGACATACCTAGACATACCTAAATCCCTCTTATTTGCTGCCACGGGCTTGTCTGAGTTGTCACAGCCTACAGTTTCTCTTGGTCAGATGAGATGGAGGAGTGATAAGTCGACGGTGTTTGTTCTGGGTTATGGGACGGAGGCTGGAGTCATAGACTGGGCTAGCATAGAAGGGGTGTAGGATTCCATTTCTCATATGATCCAAGTGAGACACAAGGTTTTCTAGGGTGACAAAGATTGTAAGAGAATTCTAGGGCATTATGGAAGAGATCCGTGCAGTGGGATCTTAAGTGGAGCTGTACAGTTGGAGCCTGGGAATGCAATTGCTGGTTCAGTTGAGCTACACGGGTACAGCAGGAGATAGGAAGTTATGTAGGAGCATTTGTGTAAGAAACCTGGACTCAGGGAAGTCACTTAGGAATACAGATGAGAGGATGACTGTCTAGGAAGAGCAAAGGGGCATCGAGTTGAGCTGAAGCGTATCACCAGCAGAGGGGAATTCAGTGCAGAAAAACAGGCCAAAAGGACATGAAAGATGGACTGAAACCACTTGATTTGCAAGAACAGCTGCAAAGGAGTGAGGGCTATAAAAACCCTGGAGGTTTTGTTACAGAAATCCATTAAAAGTACCCATTTTCAGGACAGGAAAGCCTTTTGAAGGTGTGTGTTTGGGAGTTACCAAGCAGTATCTGAGCTGGAGTCTGTGCCCTTCCCCTCCCTGTCCTTGAATAGGGTGTCAGGTTGAATTTCACAGCTCTCTTCCCTTCCCCCACTTACCTCTGCCAGGGGATTCTCTTCTAAAATTATCCCCCTCTGAGCTGGGGGCTGCCCTCTACTGCCCTTCCCCATCCTGTTTCCTTAGATGGGAAAAGGAAAACAGGAAGAAATGAAATGAATGGGTATCAGACCAAAGCTGTGGTGTTAAGAAGGGAACGGGAGATGTCTAAAAGGCAGACAGTAATAACAGCTACAACTAAGCTAGTGTTCAGCCTGTTATACTCGGGGGAGCTTTCAGTTCCATCTTCCCTATAGTCTCAGGAAAGTCATTTTCCACTTTTTTTCAGAGGAAAATTAGTCTTAGAAGTTTTGAAGTATACAAAGAATAAAGGCATGGACTCTAAATTTTCTAACTCTGATTTTGAGTGTTACCTCTACCTTTAAAGATGTTGGAGACCTTGGCCAAGTTAGCTAATAATGAGTCAGTTGCCTTTTATCTAAAAATGAAAGTTGTTTTTTTTTAGGCGGGGGTTGAGACGGTCTCACTGTAGTTGAGACTGACCTAGAACTCACTGTGTAGCCCAGGCTGGTCTCGAACTCACAGCGGTCCTGCCTCTGGGTTTATAGGCTAATGAAAGCTAATGAAAGTTGTTTCTGCTTTGAAAGGTTCCTGAGGATTAAATGTGATGATGCATGGAAAGTATCCTGTTTGAAAAGAGGAAGGTAGAGAAAGATCTGTTGAGTGTTGCAGGGAAAGCCTAAACTGCAGGGCACGGGAGAGACCCAAGGTTCTTCAAGATAAAGCAAGGCCCAATAAAGAGTAGAGAAGAGGGGCTGGGGATTTAGTCCCACACCCGCTTTACAAGCACAAGGTCCTGAGTTTAATCTCTGGCACCTAAAAGTGAGTACCAATAAGATCTGCTACAAAATATCTTCAGCTACAAAGCTATGGTTGCTTTGCTAGAATTTCAGAAAGTAGGTGGGGCGGCAACTGCTACCTGGATATGCAGAAGGAAACTGATGTCTGCAAACACTGTTAAAGAGTATGCTGTTCATATTTATTGCCCCATAAATTAGGAAGATCAGACTGGAAGATATTGGAGTTGGAAAACATAACCCAGAAATTCCAACTGAAATTTATTGGGGTTTAAAGGGCTACCCAACCTCCTGTACATGCAACAAGCTTCCCCTCTGCTTTATCCTGTGTGGCCACTTTGTACAGCCTTCCTTCAAAGAGTGGTTTCCATTATGTATGTAGATTTTAACCTTTTACAATCATAGGCTTTGGAGAATCTTTAACACCTCAGAGGAGTGAATAACATGTTTGTCTATTCTTTTGAATTTGCTTTCAACTTTAGGAACTTCCCAGAAACCTTCCTTTGGTACCCCAAATAAGAACCCTAAGCTCTAGGCCACTTTTCGAGTGAGGTAGGAGTGTGGTTTACATTTTGTTTTCTAGTTCTGTTGTGGGATGATAATCCTTGTGGTTTCAACTCTTCCCAATTTCAAACCAGATACTCTCATGGCCTTGGCCTCCAGCAGGAGGATCCTGCAGGTGATCTTGGTCCTTGAAAATCCAGCTCTTAGATTGGCAGTTGGTGCTTTCCTTCTAGACCACATCCTCCCACTTGGCTTGGCCAGGCATGATGGTTTCCTTAGCTCTTCTGAGCTCTGCCTTCAAGGATGAGTCTATGACTATGCTGCTCTGTTTTAGGGACCTGTGTTGTAAGAATACTGTGGAAGTATCTGGGCATAGTAGCACATGCCTGTAATCCCAGCTTTCAAAAGGCTGAGGGAGGATAGCTGCAATTTCGAGGCCAGCGTGAACTACAAACTACATGGTTAGACCCTGTCTCAAAAACAAAAAACAAACAAACAAAAAAAAAACCCTCTGGAAGCAATAATTGAAGCTGATAATAGTTTCTCCATTTCCTATGTGAACTGGTCACTTCCAGGAGAGCCAGACTTCACAAACAGATACAAAAAATTTTATAAAGCCCTCTAAGAATATTATCTTACTTTGGCACTGTATTTTCTTTAGAAAGTATTACTTTGATTTCACACCAATCCCTTATATTTCTCCTTAGTTTCCATCTGTAGAAAAGTGAGGTACTGTGTATCACAGAACATCACATATCCATTATCTTTGTGGATAGAATATTATAGGCCTTAAGGGTAACAGGACTGGAGCTAGAAAAGTTTTTTCCCCCAACTTTTTGGTATGCCGTTGACAAATAGAAATTGTACATATTTATAGTATATAATTTGATACATTGGGAAAAAGACACATCATGAAGTGATCACTACAAAGTCGTTAACCATGACTGTACACGTGTGTGTGTGTGTGTGTGTGTGTGTGTGTGGTTAGAACACCTAAAGTCTATTCTCTAAGCAAATTTCAGATATACGATATAATATTAACTGTTGTCACCATGTCATCCTGCATAACTGAAACTTTGTACCTTGATGGACATTTCTGGTAGCCATTCCCCTAGTGACCTATCACCTACTCTGTTTCTGAGTCCTACTACTTTAGTTTCTGCATATAATGTACACTCATGCAGCATTTGTCTTCCTATGCCTGGCATATTTTATATAGTATATGTCCTGTTGTCACAGCTGGCAGCTGTGTTTCCTTGTTTTTTGTGGATGAATACTATTCTGTTGTGCATATATACCACATTTTCTTTATCCATTCATCTGTTGACAGACGTTTAAGTTGTTCTTATATCTTGGCTGCTGTAGATGTTGCCACAGTGAACAAGGGAGTCCAGATGTTGGTGGCATACTGATTTCATTTCCTTTAGGTGTATGTATATTATATATATATATATATATATATCCATAAGTGGTGTTGCTGGATTATAGTTCTATTTCCAATTGATAAATTTCCATACTTCTGTGAGGACTGTTCCAGTTTACCTTTCATCAGCAGTGTACAAGGGTTCTCTTTTCTCTGCCTCTTGGACACTTAGTGCTTGTCTTTTTTGTACTAGCCATCTTAATAGGTATGAGGTGATATCTCATTGTGGTTTTGATTTGCATTTCCCTTTAATGATTTGAGCACCTAGAAAAGCTGCTTTTAATGATATCCATCTTCCCACTTGCTTTGAGCAGTTCCATGTAGCTTAGCTCAAAAATTACATTGTAGACCAGATCATTTCATGTCTCCACCTTCCAGTTACTGAACTGGGACTGTCCTAGGAAGGAGCCTCACTTGGCAATATCCTAAACTTCACTTTACCTCAATTTATAGCTTTTCCTCCATGATGACAAGTTTACAGGGAAAGAATGTCTTTGGAAAATTGATGAAAAAACACCATGCCAGATGCAGTAGTTTGACCTTGGTGGAAAGTATTTATTGACTTCAAAAGGGAAGACTGGTGAGATTACTTCCCCATCATCTGTTATTTGTTGGGCTCATCATAAGAAACACTCCCTCCTTTCCCACCACCACCACCTTCCTGATGGCTCTGGTCTACTTCCCTTTCTTTCCCAGTCTACATGGAAGCCCAGTCCCTCCCCAGAGTTCTGGCTGGGAGTGCAGCTAATACATGTGAGTGTGGGAAATGGGTAAGATTCCAGAACCCAAGGCTATTACCCCCACTTCCCACAGTGCTGCACTCCCCACTGGTTGATAAGGGCAGGGTCGAGGGGAAGGCAGTGTTATAAGCAGTTTCTGGCAGGCAGAAGGGCAGAGACCTGGAGGAGAAAACTAGAAACCCGATGGGTGGGCAGAGCTGTCCAGACAGTTCAGCATCCAGATGAGCACAAAACCTGGCAAAGATCCGGAGCTGGGGACAACCCACCTGGGAGAGATGGCAGAGCGGCACCGCTTGCTGTCCCAGGTGAGTGACCTGGCTAGTGTCTTTCACTCCCACCGTCCACATCCTGAAGATGTGGACGCACACAGCATCCAGAACATACTAAGCACTTTCCTGTCTTGGCCTGAACGATATTTATAGAGAGAACTGGGGCTGGATGCCTACTACTGACTAGGGAGGGACAGTGCTGCTGGCCGGAGGGAATTCCCTGTGGGGCTGTCCTGCAGGTTCTCATCCCAACCCCACCCCCACACTGCACTCACACCTGCTTCGACCCCAAGCAGATCAGATGTGGCAGTGGGGGGTCATGTGATGGAGAGGCAGCTATAAATAGCTGGAGGTGGGCATGCTGCCCCAGACGC